CGAGTTTTTGGAAATCAATTTCTATGTGACAGCAATCTATGCCTTCCTTTTTACACTGGGAAAGGCACATCGAAGTGCAGCCATTCTAATTTTAATGGAATTGTTTGATGGAGAAAAAGGACACCGTAACAGAACAATACACCCGTGAGATTAAACACAGATCAGTTTTGTCATCATTTGTCACCGTACGAAGGATTGACAGCAGCATCCATAGATGAAATAAAACTCAATGTGGCATCATTAGGCCTTTTCANCACACGGAACGCTGTTACCTTCCTACTAAAGATGGTCCCTATTTTTCTACTTGCATTTTTACATGCTTTCAAACTGCTAGTGTCAGGCCTGAAGGTATATTCCTTTTAGGATTTTTGGTTTGCCACACTCTCTATTATTTCATTATGCTGTTTCATTAGTATAGTAATTGGGAGGGGGAATAGAAAGGAGTAGAATTGTGGAATGTGTTGTTGTCATTCCTTTCTAGAAGCTCAAGGTCATCTTTTGTTTCCGCACCTCTGCATCTGACCAGAACTAGATGGGTGGAAATGCCAGCGTGGCCGAAGAAGATTGGACCATATGATAATTTTTCTGGGTGTGGAGATAAGATCATGAACTTTCCACTGGATGGAATCCCAGGAAGCTTTTAGATTTGGGATTTCACAGTTTATGCTAACATGTCTGTCTTATTAAATTGGAACTTTGATGCAAGTTATGTCTTGAACTCTGATTTAATTCTGGATAATATTTGGAACACTGACATTAACCCGAATCTCCCATTAAAATAAATCACCAGTACCCCGTCACGGGGGCTGGCAAGGGGTGCTGATTCCCAACACCTGACCTGAACTGATCAGCGTAAAATATCAGCGAACAATTAAGAGAAAAGACAGCTAGGTTGGCAGAAGCTGGGACAAGTAACGGGAGCTCACTCCGTTATGCGGTGCTAGGGATTCGAACCAGCCAAACTGCTGACCTTTCTGATCGACAAACTCAGCGTCTTAGCCATTGAGCCACCATGTCCCTAGACAGCTGCCATATAGCTCAGTCATTAAAGAATATGGGCTTAGTCTCTTCATCAACACAAAAAAAAGCCAATAAAGACTGGACAGTGTAAGAATTCATTGACAATGGAGCTATTGAAAATGGGGTTGGAAATGCCTTATAAAGTACAAAGGAACCTGAGACAGTTGGAGCTGGAATTAGAGAGGTTCTTTGTTCCTTTCTTTTCCTTTTTGCCCTGGTTGAAATCAAACAGGGAAGGCTCTCTGAAAGCTTTGAATTCTCAATGGGCTGACAATGGAACAGACTGCAACAGAATATTCATCGTGGGAGACAGAAAATGTGGCTCATCTTCTCAAAGATGAGATTCATCAGACAGCAACTCATAAGTCAAGAACTGAATATTGACTTCTTCCCTATGATTGCTACAGACCTCCGGTATTTCATTGTTTTGGACAATAACACAGATTGGCAAGGTAAGGGGAAAACGCTATGAAGGGAATGAATAATTATGAGCCACGTCAAGACAAACAACAAAAATTGTAATAATTTTCAAAATGTTAGCAGAAAGGAGAAAGTGGATAAAAGGTTCATACCGATGCACAGACACATCTTTTGTCTGTTTATGTGTATATTTTGACTAGAGAATAGCAAAAATAAAAAATATTCCTACTGAGGGTTTTTTTTTGTTTTGGCAGCTGGCTAAAGTGCTATGGTTTTTCAAGAGCAAAGAAGTTGCATAATTGCCTATAACTGTGTTCTACTCTTTTCATGTCTTTAGCTGTTGAATGTTTTAATTGGCAATTTAAAAGTGAAGTTTTTTTATTCCAGTGCTCACCTTTCAACTATTTTGCACCTTTACATCAGATCTGCAGTTGACTTAACTGGAAAATTGCATTTATTCTCATATTATCCATGGTTACTATGTTTCTAACATATAAAATTAAGCCTATTTGAAACTTAAACTAGACAAAATATCTTTCTTGCTAACAGGACAAATAGATATTTAAGCAATCAAAAATAAAATTATTAACAGCCAGGAATAGCAATTCAAATATATCCCAAAAGTCATATTACAGATCGTTCTCAATTTACAACAGTTTATTGATGGTTCAAAGTTATCATGCAATTGGAACACTGATTTATGACTTGTCCTTGGCTGTTGAATCACCCCATCCATGGTCACGTGCTTGGAATTCAGGCTTTGACAAATGGCTCACTTTGATGACCAAATCCCGTAAGTCACATGATTACAATTTGCAACCTTCCCAACCAGTTTTTGAGCACTGGAATAAAGATCTCACTCTTAAATTGCCAATCAACTGAGGAAGCCAGATTCATTTAATGGCCTGTGTTTTATTTAAGGGAATCATGTGATTCCCTTAATGTCCACAGTTAAAATGGTCATAAAAATCAGACAGTCACATAATGACTCATTTAATGATTGTATCACTTAGCAATCAAAATTGCAGTCCTCAAACTGGTCATAAAGACATCACTGTTTCAATAGTTTGGAAAACATTTTTTTGTTGTTGCTCTTATTCACTTGTTTCTTTACTACTGAAAAGAAGTGCAACACTTGTCAAACACATAAAAAATTAATCTTTGTAGAACGGAATCTAAAAATATTTGAGGGGTTCCTTACAAAGATGAGGGCCTTCTACAAAGAAGAGGGGGTCAAACTATTTTCCCACGCACCAAAAGGCAGGACAAGGAAATTAACCAAGGAGAGAAGCAGCTAAGGAGAAGTTTCCTTATGGTGAGACAAACAACCAGTGGAATAGCTTGGCTTCAGAAGTTGTGGGTGCTCCATCATTGGAGGCTTTCAAGAAGATACTGGACAGACATTTGTCTGAAATGGTATAGGGTCTCCTGCTCAATCAGGGGGTTGGACTAGAAGACCTCCAAGGTCCCTTCCCATTCTGTTATTCTATAATAATCTGTAGATTATTTTTAAGAGTTGTTGTTCAGGTCATCCGGTCAAATGGATTGAGCAATGTAGTTTTCAAAAAGACATGGCTTGACTTCCTTGTGGAATTCTGTGGGTTTTGCTGTGTCACTCTGCATTTATACAGAGTGTAAATATATATATACAGATTATATAATTGAATATTCAATTATACTGGGGAATATTTCTGTCTAAAGTAAATAACTATTTATTTTTCCTCTTTCAAAATAATTAGCGCTTTTAGATACAGATAGTCCTTAACCTATGACCATAATTGAGCCCAAAATTTATGATGCTAAGTGAAACATTCGTTAAGTGAGTTTTGCTCCATTTTACAATCATTCTTGCCACAGTTGTTAAGTGAATCATACCAGCTGTTAAGTTAGTAACACGGTTGTTAAGTGAACCTGCCTTCCCCATTAACTTTGCTTGCCAGAAGGTTGTAAAAGATGATCACATGACAACAGAACACTATAACCACCATAAATATGACAGCCATCTTTTGTTTTGGGCCTTCAGGGCCTGTCATATGTGTCAGTTGCCAAGATTCTGAATTTTGATGACATGACCAGGAGGTCACAAGTGTGAATGGTGACAAGCGTGAAAAACAGTCATAAGTCACTTTTTTCAGTGCCATTGTAACTTTGAACAGTCACTAAATAAACTGTTTTAAGACGAGGACTACCTGTACTAAAAATACTATTATTTCTTTCACAGGTTTTATTTTGTTTTTGGGTTTTTTTTAAAAAAGAAGTATACATAATCTCAAGTTGCATTTTTTACATTTTTTAAAATGTACCTTAACATAAATTACTTTTTACTCGACATAGTTAAAAAAAAGTACTAAAAATAGTAATAAAATTATTGCAAATAAATAGCCAAAGTTTAAGAAAAAAATAAGAGGCTTCTCCAATATTAATTTGCTCATGCATTTCGCTTCCTGGAGCCAAATTTTAATGGTAATTATTTTGTGGAATTTTTTTTTTCTGAAAGTGAGAATAAATCTGCAAAGATTCCTCACTGATAACTTTCAGATGGCAAGTTAATGACATTTATTTTAGAGGGCATGAACTATAAAATTAAGTTCTCTCCCATTAAGCTTTCATGCTGCTACTATTATTATCTATGCACATGTCTTCATGTTTTTTTATTAATTTTATATGGCTGTTTAGTGCTTTTGTTTTTCTGGTGGACAGAAGAACATCTGCGAAGGAAACTATAAAATTTGCTAAGAGCTTTAGTTAAAGGAAAAAAATCAGATGTGTAGGAATTTCTGTAGGCATTCTTTTGAATCTATAGATTTTCCACATCCAGCTAGGGAATGTTAAATTATAACTTTTTTTTTTTTAATTTATGGGAAAAGATTGTTTTGGAGAAAATCTAAATGGATTCTAAGAATCAACACTGATGGCACATGATCAATCAAGCTTTAATTTATAATATATTGAGGCATGTGTACCTAACCTTTCCACCAATAAGACAGAACAAACTGTACAATAACAAGAATGTGGCCAGGAACTACCATCCACATATATTTTAGAAATATGATATTCTCTATTGGTGCCATTAATATACACAAGGAACCTGAGCAAATCTAGAATCTATTTTCTTGAATTATCAATTAGGTTCCAATGATGGGGTAGGGAAGGAAGAGACTGATCTAAAACGGTATCATTGACTACTTGTAAAAATCATATTTTTAAGGCTTCACTACAGATAGAGCTGAAAATTACAGGTCAAAACCTAAAGCTTATTCTTTATTTTCCCCTTGGAATCTACAGTATTTTCTGATACTTACAACTATGAGGCTGATATGTTCAAGCATTTAGCCACAATATCATAAATATAATTTTGGAAGATATTATCCTATCAAACACAAACAATTGCAGGCAACTCTGCTGGCCAATTTTGATATCAACATTAAAACCCTTACGAAGGAAACTTTTCAAGCACCCAAAATATCAGTACTAATCAGGTTGAAATAAGTACAGGAAGGAGGAATCATGTTTCAAAGCAGCCTGGGATGCTTAATTGCAGGGTCAAAGCAGTGGCTTACCTGGTATGTGTCCCAAAGCCTTATGGTACACCGCAGGGGGACTTCTCTCATCAATAAGTTATTCATCCAACGGAAAGCAAACTGAAGGTATTTCACTTCATACTGTTCTATGTGTTTATGTACTTGCTCTGAAAGACAAAAAGAACAGAAATAAACTACTGATGATATTTATATAACCCTCACAAAACAGTGTAATATCATATATGTTCCCTACATATACTACAAATATGGGTCAGAAAATCCTCCATCCCTCTTATTTTGATATATCATATTTTTCGCAGTATAAGACGCACCTAGTTTTTAGGGTGGGAAACAAGAAAAAAAAATCTACCTCTGCCTCTACCTCCCAGCAATTTGCCTCCTTGCAGCAAACAGCCTGTTTCAGTTTCAGCTTCACCACAGCCTGATTAGCACAAGCAGCTGATTGTTGGTTGGATCAGCCTCCCGATGATCAGCTGTTTCAGGCTGCAGGGATTGCCATAATCTATTGCTGCCTCCACGCATCCCATTTTCAGCTTCCGCATCCTGTTTTCAGCCTCTGCACATCCCGTTTTTGACCGCCAAACACTCCACTTTCCACCCTTTCTGGGCGGCCAGGATCAGAATGGGCAGAAAATAGGCCCCGTTGAGGCTGAAAATGGAGCATACAGAGGCCAAAAATGGACAGCAATAGGCAATGGCAATTCCTGAGCCTGAAACAGCTAATGGTTGGAAGCCGATCCAACCAACAATCAGCTGCTTATGCTAATCAGGTTGTGCTGAAACTGAAACAGGCTGTTCGCTGTTTGCTGCAAGGAGGCAAATTGCTGGGAGGCAGAGGCCAAAGGGTTGGGGTCGGCGAGTGTGCAGGGCTACATTCGGTGTATAAGATGCACCCAAATTTTCATCCTCTTTTGTGTGTGTGTGGGGGGGGGAGTGCGTCTTATACTCCTAAAAATATGGTAAGCAGGAGCTAGGATTTTAAGACTTTGTTCCAGTAAATGTCAACTAATGCAACATTAAAGTATTACTAAAATCTAAATAATAAATGCATTTACATAATTACACATTATTTATTAAAAGTATATGCTTCCCATCTAACTATTGAACAATGTATCAGGATTATGTAGGAAATATAATTTTTTAAATAGCCGTCCAGTCTACTATTATTCAATTTTACCCTGTGTTTATTTATAAACATATGGTCAACTCAAGCAGCTAACATACTATTTTTCCCTGAAAATAGGACCCGGTCTTATTTTGTTTTGGGCCCCAAAATAAGCACCAGGTCTTATTTTGCCAGGATGACTTACTCGCTTACCTTAAAACCACCACAGCCAAGCCTCCCACACCCCAACACCTGCCTGACTTCTTCTGACAAATTGCTCATTGTGCCAGTGCCGCCACTTGCAGCAGGAGGTTACATGGTGTATTGCGCCATTGTGCGTGAAAGCAGCAATACTGGCATAATGAGCCTCATGGCGCTGTGCTGTGAGTGGCGGCACCGGCCTGATGTGCCACATGGCATCCGGCTGCAGACGTTGGGCAGCAGTGGCACAACAGGTTTCAGGGTTTGGGAGGCCTGGTTGCGGCAGTCCTAATGTAAGCGGGTGCGGGATGCGTGGGGTAGCTCCATCCCACCCTAGCTTGATTTTTATACATGCACCTTGACCCACCTCGTACAACCAGATGATGGGCAGGGCTTAACTAGGGCTTATTAGGCAGAATCATTAAAATTGGGCTAGGGCTTGTTTTCGGGGTAGGTAGTACTTTTTGGGAAAACACAGTACTTAATACTCCTGCCTCCTCTTTTCCCCATAACAATCCTATGAGGTAGGTTGGTAAGAGAGAAAAAAGGAGGTCCAAAGTCAGCCAGCTGGTTTTCATGA